GAAATACTTACTTGTGTAGAGGTAATTTCCTTGTTGGAATATTTTTATTTCTTCATATTCTCTTCAATAGTTCTGCTCTTTTCTGAAGAAAATGGATTTTAACTGGATTAAAAGAACTAAAGTGTGAAAAATGAATTCTCTGTTAAACAATGTTATGCTGTGCAGAGGTACTACTGCACTACCATACAAGCATTTCCCAGTATAATGGTTTTACTCACCACTAAATGCTTCTCCTTTGTTTTTTATTTTAGCTTGCCTTTAAGAAAAGCAGGTCCTCGAGCAAATTGAGAACAAAATCGAGAGCAAATTCAGAGCCACGGTGCAAGGTCCACCTGGTACACCACCTGTTTCCCACTGCAAGTCACATTTGCACTTGCAGAATCTGAACATTAAATTGAAAGAAATTCTTAAGATCATAAGATTGATTACGAAATAATACATATTTGTCTTCTATGCATAGTCTTTATAACATAATTTAAAAAATCAGAATTTTTCAAATGAACGTAGTTACTATTTGCAACAAATCCAGCATAATTTTTATAAATGCTAAGTAATAGAAACTTCAGAAGCGAACTACATGTCAGTTGCTAAATTCTCACAATTTTTACACTGCACACTCAAGAACAGCATTATTGCTGAAATAGATTCTTTATTTCTGAAACATTCCAAAACAGCAGTATACACAGTTGTAATCAAATATTAAGTCATATGCCATTATAAGAAAGCATTGATTAGTGCAATTGGATTTTGTAAAAGATCTATCAAAAAGATTTATTTGCATTAAAACTCATTTTCCATAAGCAACTGTTAATAAAACATTACAATTTTATCCTTTGTAATAAAGTACTGAAAACCAACTGTAGTTTTAGAGATCACTGTATCTTTTTAAGTGCAATGTGACTTATGCTGCCATTTTTAAATACAAAACACTATGACAACAAATTAACAGTTGAACAAATGGTGAAAGACCAACAAAACCATGCTGACCCAGCTGGATGGCAATTTCCAGTGAATGCTACTTTTTTTTTTGTGCTTCTGCAACATAAATATACTGCTTTGTATTGCCAATGGTACGATTTTGTAAGATATGTTCCTAGCGCTAAAAAAGTACGTTACCCCAAAAATATTATTTATGGCACAGAAAAGTTAAATTATCTCTCTGTTGTTCGAGGTTCAGGCAAGTTGAAATGAACTTAAGTATACAAAATAAAATGTACTGGAAACACTAGAAAAAAAATTCAAGCACATACATAAGTCCCCCCAAATTTAAAATAAAATGCATGATGCCTTTACACCGAATAAATTATCTTAGAATTTCAGTACAGCAAAGCTGCCCGAAAGAATTACCTCCTAGTTCTTTCCCAGGAAACATTCTGGTACTTTGCACATATATAATACTTTTTTCAGTTCCAAATGCCAGCACTGCCATTGTTAGTCTGGTAACAATGTAACTGTTCAGGTAACTGATTAAGTGCAATATTTAGTATTTGATAAGATGTTCATTTTTTAAAAATGACATTGCATTACGGATGGTTACATATTAAAATCTTGGGGGAAATAATACTGTACCACCCTCCTTTTCCAAATCATTGTTACCCAGCCAGCTGGGTAATGAAAGCCGCATTATTTATTTTCCACCGTTGATGGGCATCCTTCATCAGTAGCAGCCATCTCGCCAGTTCCCATCCCGCATCATGCTGAGTGATGAAAGTGGCTTTGGAGGCTGAAGAAAACTGTATTAACTAAATGACAAAAAAGAAAAAAAAAAAAGCAAAGGAAGTCATATTTAATGTGAAAGATCAAGGTAACAAACATCGATATACTGGAAGAAGCTAGACTCTTGAACTGATAATCAGAAATACCATTCCTTAGAAATGACCACACTGACAAAAAATCAAGTGAGAAAATCTGCCTCTCATGGCTGAATTCCTTTCAAAAAAATTCTCTATGAACTGAAACTGCCATTATTTTCTACATGCACAAATAAATTGAAATGAGGGTCTTAAAGAACTGTAGGCTGAGCTCCAATCTGCCTGTGCTTAATCCTATAAACTTGTGATTCCCACCATGCAGAGACCATCCATCTTCAAGGATCATTGGTCTGGCTCTACGGCAACAGAGTGCTGCTAAGGTACCTTTGAAGGTAAGAAGACAGGAGTCCAGACTTTCTGGACTATAAATAGCTTTGTTATTGATTTGAATCAGCTTCTAATAAAAACAGCGTTGAGAGTACAGTGTCTCACCCTCCCACTGAAACCTCTTAATTTTGTTTTTCTTTAATATTTTCTGTTGTACGAAAGGTTACAAAATAGCAAAGGACTGGTGGTCTTCATAGCCCAGTAGGTCTCCCTCTCACATGCTGCTATGAAAGATTTAAGAGCTTTGCAGAAGAACATGAAGTGGAGGAAAGGAAAAAGAAAAAAAGAACAAAATCCCTCTACTATAAAGAACTCTAACAGAGAGAGTTCCAGCAGAGAGCAAAGGAGGTTATAATAGAAATCTCATGGTACAGTCTTCATCAAAGAAGAAACCTGACGGCTCTTTATCAAAGTTTTACCACAGTTGGTCAAGATCTGTTGTCAGTCACATCAGTGTAATCCCCGAGAAACTCAACCAAAGAGAAAAGGTGAGGAATTGAACTTATTCTGGATCTAGCCAGTATCTAGTGAAAAGTATAAAAACGGTGAGAGCTAAACAGCGACAGTTCATCCATCAGAAAACCAGGTGGTCACACAGTGGGGCCTCACAAGAGGATGTGTGTGATGGGAAGAAACAGTTGGAAGAGTTGACGCAATCTGATAAAAGTTGCTCTTTGAGAAACTTCATCACCTATTAATCACAGAATATACAGCTAAGAGTTTAACACCCAGCTGTGATAAGGTGATTAAACCAGTTTCTTTCCTCAAGATTATTTTACTACTTGCCTCAAAAAAACCCCCAAAACATCTGGAGATTAAATTCCCTTGGAAATATGCAAAACTGCATTTGCTTAAGAGTATAGCTCATTGCAGTTGTGTAATACTTCAGGTTTCCCTGTCAGCCTATTGTCTCCCAGCTGGAACTGAAGAGACACTAGTTCAACCCAAGACTACTAGTCAGGACATTTCCCCCCTGACAATGTCATAACATAACATGCAGCATATTTATAGTCTACTACCATTTACAACTGGGATGCAACTAGCTCTATTTGAGTACTCTAAAATTTGCTCATCCTGTGTGACACTGAAATAGCAGTTGGCACAAGTCTGGAAGAAGGCAAGCCACATATGTTAATGATACGAGGTTTCCATTTGTTTTGATTTCTTATTGATGGGCAGAAATCCATTCTTATTTAGATGTGATTACTTTCCACCAATTACCATAGTTTACTTGGAACTACTAGCAAGCATTTTCCATCATTATTTCTAGAAAGACATCTTCACCCATTTAGTGGCTCAGCACTGGAAGCGAGAAACTCTTCTTGCTTCATATTCAGGAGAAAAAAAAAGTAAAAAATCCACAATCTAAGCCAAAGCTGTCCACATAGGGAAGGAGGCTTGCTTCACTGCTTACCTTCGAACTGGGTGTGCAATTTTACTTCTGGGTATGCCACTCCCGTTGATGGCCAACGATGGTCTTGGAAGAGCACTGCGCCCAACAATCCCTTGACTGACAGTCTTGTTTGGCATCGGGATGCCAGTGTTAGAATATAACTGCGAGTTGTTGGACACTGGAATACTGCTGCTGCTACTACTACTACCACCCCCACCTTGTACGGTTGGGCTTACGTAGGCAGTAGCTTTGAGAGGCTGTCTGACAGACACTGGAAAATGTCCCACACTGTGAACTCTGTGTTGAAGCTGTCCTGGTGATGGAACTGTGAAGAGTGATAGAAAAGGAAGTAATGTGGTCAGTATAAAACAGGTGAGGCCAGATAGTAATGCTCATTTCTAGATAGATCTGAACAGGGGTATACACATCATACAATTTACTTGCTAATTATAAACTGCTGAAAAACACCTTGGATCCAATACTGTATCCACTAACACTGCACTTAACTAAAATACACTGTTCCATCCCCATCCTGAACAAAAATCCCACCCCGTGTTCATGCTTCTTTCTCCCCTCAAAGAGGTTTCATTAGCTGTTGCAAGTACACTAATTCCACCTATGCAATTAGAGCTTTAAACAGGAGAAATTGCTGAAGGTATAAATTAATTACTGTTAGATCATTCAGATTTTTGTAAGGTTGACTGCTACAACCACATCTTGTTTAAGGAACATTGCATTAAAGCATTATAAAACAACACAGAATTCTAAGCTTTATACACAAAACCAATAAAAAGGCTATGAAAAGGTCTTGAATATAACAGCATATTCAAGGCCAATGTTATGTAAACTGCCATTTTAAAATCAATGCTACGGGTTATAGAATCTTTATATATAGATTTTCTACGTAATCCTGCCCTCTGGTGTACATCAGACATGCATCTGTTTCAGAGTCCACATATCAAAAGCAGACTGTCAAAAGCCTAAAGCACATGAACTAACATGCTGCATACAGGCCGATCCTTTAATTAGTTAACATCATTTAAAGACACAGAAGAAAATACAGATGTGTGACTTAATTAAACAATACTGACAAAATATTGCTATGGAACTCTTATCAGAACACAGCTTCTTAAATACCCTAGCACAACCACTTATGAGAAATGTTTCTTAAAATTATTTCAGAAAAATCACATTTTATACATATATAAATAAAAACACAGAGAAATCAGTATTTCTTTAATAATAAACAAAATTAAACTCAGTGCACTACCATGCAAATTCAGGTGGGAACCAAAGCAACTACTTCCATTCTCCTATCCAAATGGTTCAAAAAACAAACTCCAGCAGTCAAGTGTATTTTCCAGAGAAGATTCAATTTAATAGTTTTGAGGCGTCTTGTAAATTCTGCTCAAATTTGAAAGAAAACACCCACAGGAAAAGGTTTTGCCAACTTCTCCCTCTAAAACCTCTGAAGACATGGGAGGCATAAGTTAAATTCCTCTCCTCACTGTGCCCAAGATATTCACTTTTCCCATTTCCTCTCAGAGTACTTCAATCACTGGATCTTGATCTATCTTGTTCACGTTCTACATTAATAACTCAACATATACTAGATCAATATTCCTTCCTCTCCCCACAAAGAAGTCACCTAAATTAAACTAATTACAGAGTGATTTTAATTTCCCCACTCAACACGTATATTATACTGGAGGATATAACCCTCTGTTTACCACATTGGCTCAGAAGAAAGTGGCTCAACTTCAGTAGGACAGAGGTCATGTATTTTAAAATATTTAAAATTTTAAAATAGAAGTATTTATATAGTGTACTGTAAAACCAGCACTGTATAATATACATTACCAAGAAAAGCATTTTTTAATTCTAGTATCAACACTAAAAATGTAAGCTTATATGAATTAATTGCATTATTGGTGCTTCTACAATACTACTAATAATAATTATTATTGTAATCTTAAAGTCGGCACAAAATGAATGGGCAAAGAAAAAAAGGAGATGATGAAACTCTCAATACTGCATAACAAGATTGGCAGAATTTGCTTTCAAAAAAAGGAATTTTGAAAATCCTGAGCTATATTAAAACCTGGTTCAAAAGACAAACAGTCTGCTTTTAATTTTTCATAAAGCAGAGGATCAGTGACTGGGATATGTATTTTACCACTCTATTGATCTTTGCGCAGAGCCAAAGAATACAGGTACTTACTAGATGACTGCATCCTTGAAATCCCATTACTCGCTCCATGCAAATTGGAGTCAAAGCTCTGACTGTTCCTCACAGTGACTGGAGAACTAGCAAAGCCAGGATTACTGTTAATGGTGGGGGTACTTGGCATCCGAGCGAGGTTAGGCATGCTTCTTCGAAGTTTATCTGAAGCGAAAGGAGACAACACCCATAGTCGTGTCAGAATTTCCAACAAACACAAGCAGCCTCTGAATAATTTCTGTAGAAAATCAAAATTAAATTACTCCAACACAAAGGAAGGTTTTGCTCTGCAGGAAGAATATGAAGACATTATTGACAGCCTACTAATCGAACCCTTCTGACTACTGTAACACCACAATTATTCACACATAATTTTGAAGATACCCATAGGCAGTGCATTTTCTGAATCACAAGGATTTAAACACTAAAGTGTCATGATAAGGATGAGTTTCACATAAACGTGTAAAGTAGGTCAGATGAATCATGCCCTAAATGTGACTGTTTCTTTTCAGCGAATACAAAGCAAGGCTGCCGTGACAAAGTCAGACAGAGATATCTGCGCTGTGGACATCTAAATACATGTGAGATGAATCCATCCTAAGTGACTAAAGTTTTGCTTTCAGGTGCCAATGAGACACTAAAAAAATTCCATTCAGTACCTAACCTCATTAGCACGTTAAGTTTCTGCAGATGACAATGCACAAAATCTGTGACATCTTGATGCTCTTCAGTTGCTTAGAGCCCTGGGTTGACATCAGGATTTTCAAATCTGGTAGCTCTCCCTCCTACCCCACTCGTGGTGCCTGATCTGGTGGGCATTTTCAGAAAAGAAAGCTGCAAATGCTTCAGTTTTTTCTGGGGCAGGTTCAGAAGCTAAGGCAAGTGTCTAAGAGGACAGAAGATGTCTGCAACTCCACTCATGCTGGTTGATTTGGGGAGAGAAGCCAAAACAAAATCTGACATCTGATGACTTTCCAACCACAACAGCATGGTAATCTAAGGTGAAGCTCTTGGGTTTCTTCTGCCACAGGGCCAAAGGGAGGTGACTCAATTCTGTATAATCAGACGAGACCAGCGGGGGCAGAAAGGCACAGATTGAATGAACTGGTCTGAATTGCCTCCTGTGACACGGCAGGCTTCAGCAAAGGATCACTGTGGTGATTCGTTGACTTGTCACTGACACCAGGACTAACTCTGGCCTCTTGGCCAGGTTGAGGGGCACAAGTTCTGTGCCCTGCCGAGGTGGCTGTGTTTGTCCTGGTACTGTGGTCAGCATGAAGGCCACCAGCTCTTGGCCCTGCTGCAGGTTCCAACACTTGGCAGATGTCTGCCTCCAGCTCTTACACCGCAACAGAAAGCAGGGGTATGTTCATCTTCAAACAGGCAGCTGCGACTGCTCTCTCCAGCAGCAAGCAGGGCATTTCAAGATTGAAGTTTTGGATTTATGCACAGGAATGACACATCACACGCGGCTTGGAACTGTTTTGGGTTGACCTCCTAGCTCACACAGGACAAGTTCAGTCCACAGAAACAATGAATTGGCTTAAGAATCTCTATATATCGGTCCACATAAATATATAACCTATTTAGCACCATTGTGAGCTCCTCTAATCCTTAAAGCTGCTAACAACTGATGAGTAATAAGAAGTGACATTACAGTTCTATCTATACAAGGTATTAGTAGCCACTAACAGTAACTTCAATATATGTGATGCCTACGTATCTCCAGCAATACAAGTCACAACAAGGATACAACTCTAGCTGCTTTTTATGACTGGTCCTCATGATAAAAACTGATACAGAACACTGTAAATAGTCAAAAAACACCTTTGTATTACAAAGGGATTACCACTGTGGTTCAGTCAGGTGGGAAGTATTAATATCGCTGATGTAGCAATGATTAAACAGTTATCAGGCTTCCAAAACTGTCCTGGGGATGCAAACAATAGTATCCATATAGCTACTATGTGTCACTATTTCTGAAATACTCGTGATTTTACAAACCAGAAAGGGAACCGTCCTCCTATGACACAATCTCTGCCCCAGAGTGGCAGAAATTTCATGAATATGGGATGTCTGTAGATACTGTTAAGATTGGAGCCCTGGCCTAACCTTTAAAATCCTAGGTCCTGAAGTGCTAGTTCAATATTACAGCACTTGGCAAAGAAGGTTGGAGCAGCAGGATGGCAGTAGGGAAGATGGCACTGCATAAAATAGCTTTTCTAATACTATCCACATATCATGTTGTATAAGCAGAATTCCTCAGACTCTACACCCTCTTCCACTCAGGGACTGCATCAGCCACCACAGGCACGATCTAGGCCTTCAACGGACCACTGGATGCAGCTACAATAGCAGGAAAAACAGGTCCAGAAGTAGCTTGGATTTCCTCCATGTCATGGGTGGCCATGTCTTTTGCCTCCTGTTCATTAATTACTCCTCATTCCAGCAGTCTGCTGTGCTGCTGATTCATTCAGTCCTCAGGCAGCAGATGCCTGCTGCACCTGCAAATTGCCATCCATCGAGCATCTGCGTTACTTCTCTGATGGGTCCTTGTGTCTGCTGAGATAAATGGCCCTGAAAAGCAATGAAAACAGCAGGTCAGTTTTGTGTTTGGGGAAAACCCAGAAACGTTTGTCTTGATGGCGTTTTGCAGCTTTCATGTCCTTAGATGATGCATCCTCTTTGATCTCTTTCTTGAAGTTTGTTCTGTCACCTGTTCCTCTCCTAAGAGCAGTAGAAAGAGTCTTACAGACATTTTGCTTCTAAATGAAATGCTGGCTCTTGTGAGCTTGGAAGCAGAAGGTGGGAGTTATGTGGTTTTAATATTAGTTCAGGCTGCAGAGATGTGACTAGATATGAATTTGCTGGAAATATATGAGAAAACAAAAATATTTTTCCAAGTCGCTAGCAGCAAACTTTCCCTTTCTAGAGCTCTTTGCTCTCCTAAGACTGATGAGAAAATTACCAAAGAGGAAGAGTGAAGGAGTAGAGCTGAGATGTATTCTCAGGTGAGAATTTGCGTAAATAGTCCTGTTTATGATGAATGCTGAAATTCGCTACAGTTTCTTCTACCTCTTCTGCACTAATCTGGTTCAGTGGCAAGCCTAAAAAAACAACTTGGTTGTTTACAGTTCATTCTGTTAGGAAAATGTGGATATTGACACCAGCGAGGAACTCCAAAGGACCTGTATCTTCTACAGCATCCATAGTTATAGTGACCCACTACTGAGTCTCAACTATAATCTGGGCCTAAACAAGTACGATGTTTAGTAGGATGCAGCCATATAAAGTATCACAGATGTATCTTTGCCTTTCCCAGCCTTCTTTGAGATGTAATAGCATGACCTGCAGTCACAGTATTACTGAGATATTTTGAAAGTGTGAAGAAAATGCAAGGACAGGTCACACAAGGGAGTTGTTAATCAGTTCCTGGTTTTACTACCACCTTCTCACCATAATTCATGCATATACACACACGTGCTTGTCACTTCATGAGTGTTCTTTAGGTGACATACGTTGCTCTTGTTTCACGTATCTGTAGCAGAATAATACACCAAAAATTGCTTACTACATGTTTACACTTTTTCCCCTACATGGCATCCATGCCGAATTGCCTCAGCAGAGGAAAAACTGGGAATTGTGAAATGCAAGGTCCTCTGTCCTCAACTGAAAATGTGCATGAAAAGATCACCCCACAGCACAGATCATGTTCACTACCGGTGAGAAATGGGTCGAAAAGCAGGCAAAAGTGTCCCTTACTTTTGCCATACATTTCACGTAATTACAGTAACAGCAGCAGTTTGCCTCTTATCCAGCTGCTTTAGTCCTGATTTTTTTTCCATGAAGTTCTTCTCCCAGTGCTCTTCCTTCTCTGAAGTCAGCCTGGGATTGGTGGCCCAGCTTCTTTCTGGCAGGACACCAGAATGGGCACAGCTCCTGCCTTCTGTCTTCTGGTCCCAGCACCGCTGGTGGCTGCCCTCGTTCCGCCACTTCTTTTTTTACCTTCCCTGACCTAATACTATCACCAGCCGAAGATTAATGTCCATGTAGCACACAGACAGACCTTGCCCTCGGAGCAAAGCTGCCCCAGAAGAGGTACGCTCTTGGTGGGCTGCCAGACTGCGAGTTCTGTAGCGGTTCTTGGTAAGGATCACCTTCCTTCTGCCAAAACGCCTCATCCAGTGAGGCTCTCCTTGCCAGGAGGGCTTAAGTTGACTCTACAGTGAAGTGTCTTAAAACACATTTATTCATTCATTGTTATTCTCTGAAAGTGCTGTCAATGTTTTATTTGAACAAAAAGACTCACAAGGCTTGCCAAAAGTGCACTATCATTAAGGAATGTGATACAATGAATCATAATTATTAGTGTCTCAGAGAAATCTGTATCACCATTTAAGCTATGTTAGCAGTTTCTTACACTTGTTTAAATTCTTCACACAAACTCCGCAAATTGAACTCTGCCTTATCTGTATTTTATGCACAAATAAGATGGGGAAAAACCATAAGGAAAACATCTGTCCTTTTCTATTTTAAATGTTATGTTCTGTATTATGTAGATATTCAGTTTGTTCCGAAATCCTTAACAAACCTGCAGGCTCAATTACAACTTCACTTTAAGGGATTCATTTCTCTTCTTCATCTTTGAAGACCTGCGTTCAGTATCTGCATTACGTTTGCCATGGTTGCAACATTTATGACATCCCAAATACACTGGGGTCTAGTTAAAGGTCTGTGGAATTGTCACAGCTGATACAACAAACACAGTGTGTGAAAACACAAATACAGATTAAGAACTAAAAGGAACTCTTTCAGTTAAGTGAGACACCATTCTTGGTGACTGTCAGTACCTACATTTTGCTTACGTTTATGTTATGGTAAAACCAGCACAGTTGAACACTTCCCTTTTATTTAGAATTATGACTTCATCTCGCTCTGCCTTCACAGGCAGAGGTCTCCTGCCACTGATAGTTACAGCAAATGAGTATTTTTCCATTATCCTTCCATGACTTCTACCCACCGATCACCTTCAAAGGTGACAAAGTAAGGTTTTCTTTTTTTCCTCCTTTCCTTTACTCTGTAACAATATCCTACCGTGCATTCTTTTCTTACAGAAGAAGAGAGGTTATGAGCAGCAAAACACTCTGTAAATCAGTAAGAACAGACCTTTTCCCACCTCTTCAAACACACAAATCAATGTTAGTCTACACTGAACTGATATCTCAACACCAACCTAGTGCCCCTGAAATGCTACTCATAGCTATGTCTACCTGGAGTTTGATAAAAAAAACCCAAACAACCAAAACCAAAAACCACAAAACCACAAAAAAAACCCAAAACCAAACCAACAACAACAAAGCAAAACAAAACAAAACAAAACCCAACCCACAACAAAAAAACACCACATTTGCAGCTTTCCAAATGTGGCAAGGGTGTTGCAATAGCCAACAATTTTCATAATATTTTGCCTGAGGAAAGTTATTCTCCAAGAGTGTATGCAATAAAGTAACTCATAACTAGTAATTTCTGGGAAATAAGAGCAAAATCTTTCAAGAGAGTGGTATCTGTGGCCTGTTTACCAAGGTATCAACCAAGCTAGAAACTTAAAAATCAACATGAAAAGGTAATGGACAATATAAATCAAAATTAACTAGACTGCATGCACTGCTACTCAATGAAGGATGTATTTTTCATCTGCCCCCTCCTACTGCATTATAATAAACTCCTCCTTTAGCAGGAATAATATGTCCAAAGTACAAAGTTTACAAATTTCAGTACAAAAAATGGACACTTTAAAATGCACATAATAAAATAAGGAGAGCCAAGATAAAACTTTATGAGTAAGCTTATCTCAAGACCTGGAAAGCTGGACTGATCATAAAGATCATCAATCCCATTTTCAGCATCTCATCTATCATGGACTTTGACCGCTCTGGATGATTTCACAGCGCTATAGTTCTGTTACTTCTGGTTTCAGAAAATCAGAAGTAATCAAGGGCAAAAATATTAGCATCTATTCAAAAAGAAGAAAGTGACCAAATAGAAATAAAACATATTTTTTAAAAATTTAAAATGAAAGTGATCACTTCTGTTTCACAGTAAAAAAAGAAGTGTACATATATGATAACATAAAGCAGAAAGCAGCTTGGTTTTATGACATTTGGTGGTATTTCTTATACGAAAATGACTAAATATAGAGTAGTCTTGATATTAATAGGGTTAGCAAAATTTTAAGTTGTTAACCATGAACTTCTTCGACTTAGAGGAAGGAGAGGTAGGAACATAAATCTTTCCATTGCCGACATATTAAAAGCTTTTTTAAATTACAAAACACACTAACCAGATGGACTCACTTTAGCTAATTGCAACAGATACGCAAAAGCAATTCACCTCCTGTCTCAAACCTTCGTTTAATGATCTATTTCTGACCTACTAACTGATTACAAAATCCCTGAAAACCAGAACGCCTTAAAAAGTCCACAGATGGAATTTTTCTGATGTAACTCATCATTACAGACAATTCTGCTGATTTAGGGAGTGAATGTAATTAAATAAGGGGAAAAAAGGTAGATTTCTTGCAAAGCTTTTCTATTAGTGTATTCTTGTCAAAACTGGAAGTAAAACTTATTAGAAAGCAAAGATAACATACACACACCACAGGTGATGTCTGCAAAAATGTTAGGAGGTAACAAGTATGCCTACAGCCTATGCTACAAGCGGTCCCAAATACATCTTAAACACATCTTAACATATTTTTCAAATCTTAACGTATTTACTTTTACACATACCTGTGACTTTACACTAGCATTTACAAGGAGTCTTCCAGTACAGAAACCTGTTGGGGACTGGCAGTTAACAGGACTGGTACCATTCACTCAGACATAGCCGGGATAAAGCAGCAGGCAGAACCTGTGCCTGAGAGTGGGGGCTAGATGGTGTGGTATTTTAAACCAGTTGCATGGTATTTTAAAGTAGATGTAGAGCAATCTAAACCAGGGTCAAGCATCAAAATTAGACTAGCGGCAGCATTTTGCTGCAATGCGTCGGCAAGAACAATGTGTGACTTCAAACTTAAGGCCTCAAACACAGCTGGAAACCATCTGTGAGAGTATCCTCACGCCAAGCACAGGCAGAAGATTACTAGGGTGGCCAGAAATCCCAGACAATCTCTCTGGTACCTAAAATGCAATCATGTACATGGAAAACAAGCAGAGCATCTGCTATAGTGACAGACTAGACACACAGTGAACAAGTCGGTGCCTATATAGAGGTACCTCATGTCATTTGAGAGACCCTGGGCTGGTCTATGGCATCTAAACATCACTGACACGTCGCGATGGTGAAGCCAAGCAGGGTGCAAAGTGCCTCAGTGCTTGTATGTGGACAGCTGAACTGGGCCCTTCATACACATGTGGGCACTCACACCTCAGCATCCAAATGTAGGCCCTCCTCATCAGGCAACCAATGTTATACTCTTCAAAGAGCTATTAAAATTTTCCAAGTTTATCATACCTTCAGTGTACTTGTTACTGTACAGGCAGTTAAAGCTAGAATAAGTACCTCAACTAGAGTAACATGCCAAACAAACTTCACTAAAAGCAGGTAGGACAGAATCCCTCATACCATTTGTTCCTAAAGGCAAAAAAAATTGTACTTGAGCTAAACACAGACTAGTTTTGGGGAGACACTGCATCAAAGATAAACACTTTTTTTCACCCCAGACTGAGTGCCAAAATTCAACAGTTACTTGCCAATTACTCTTCTTTTATGGAGTGCTCTGTGAATGAGCAGACGAACCAGGGGCCCAACTGCACATACAAGAACACAAGTGATTTCCCTGGGGGAAGAGAGAGGGAGAGAGATTTGGGAAGACTGTTGGAATGTCCGAGAGCAAGCACAGCATGTGGTATGCGTGATTTTGATTAACTATGGATGATGCTTTCCACATATATCGAAAGCAGTAACTAAACAGTTTAGCCAAAAGATCTATCACACCCCTCTTTCTCTTTTGCCTTGGTGAACTGTAACAGTGGGGAACACACCATCCATCATCTTGAGCTTCAGACAAATTCGTATTTTGCAGTCTACCTCCATTTCAATGTGTAGGAGTTCTTGAAAGACAATGAAATCGTTGCCAGGATGGTAAGTGCCAATGAGAAGATACTGTGGTAATACTACTCAGACACACTCAATACAGTGAACACTTGACTCCTTGTCTGCCAACAGAACACAGCCAAAGTAAAATGTTTTTCACCATCAGTATTTGCCACTTAGGTGGATCAGTGCTGCATGAAGGGCTGAAGGTGCAGAAGCTGAAGAGATAATTCTGCTCTAAAGATAGTGGTACTGGCTATTATAGGACTGTCTGCCATCCCAGCAAACAGGTAACTGAAGTCACTTGTGTCCATCTGCTGAGTGACACCAAACAGATTACCCTCACCTCAAAGTTCTTGATAAAAAAGGGAAGCAGGTCACCTTTTACATAGATAAATTGGTCACCTTTCACATTCACATGCCTTCTAGTTAATAAACTAGGAGTCTAGTATTTTTAATGCCCTGTAAGTAATTTTTGAGGTTTCCATGTGGGAATCCTGACACGGAACATGAAAAAATAATTGTAAAAAGCATTTGGGGACCATATAAAGAGATTGCAGCACCACATTCTGATCCTATTCCTGGAGCAAAAATACCCTATGACCTTCCTTTCTATCTCCCCAACATTTCTGCAAGCATCAGTGCTGTCCCATTCCTGTACCTCATGGGCAAGAAAAATAACATTGAAATTAATATGACACATATGCTGCACTGACAAACACCTACATTGCTCTACTCTCTGTTAACATCAGCCTTTTTTGTATACTGCTACTTGTCGATTATGCCTCCACGCCATGTCTTACTTAGAATGCAAGTACTTTTGGCACCAACCTGTCGTGTGTTGTCAGGAAAGCAACATGCATACCTGTAGCATTCTATAAATAGCAATGTTGTGTTGTTTTGAACAACACATTTATTTTCTTGCCCAAGGGTGAACTGTAACCTGTAATGTTACAAACAAGACCCTGCCTGAAAACTGACTGTTTTGAATTATCTTGGGAAAAAGACTGAAGGAATAAGAAAGTAAGATGCAGCAGGAGGAAGAAAATTGTGATCATAATAAGGAATGAGAGGAAGGTAGCAGCAACAACAGTGGGAAACTTAAGTCTTGACTAAGCACCAAGTCACAGATCTTCCAGAGACTCTGGAATACGTTAGGAATGGCTCAGGATAGTTTGGGAGTGACATCTCCCACTACTTTAACAGTCTGCCCTACCAGACATGGAACAGGAGCAGAGTGTTGACCCCTGTCATATGCACTCACTGCAGATTCACAGCACAGCTGCATTAAGAGCGAAGTCAGGAATAAGAAAAGGAATGAAAATCTGAAAACTCTATTTTGTATTTTACTGTATCCACAGTGGACGTGTATAGGTCAAGCTCAAACGCCCCATCAGTACTTCTAACTATGAGCCTGCTAAAGGATGCACCTCTTCCCTTTTTCTTCTTTCTTCACCTGTGGCCATCCCTGCAGCACTTTAAACCAGACTAAGCGACAATTTTCATGACCAGGTTACAGATTACATTTTATAGAATTTTATAGCATTTTATAAGCATTACTTAACAATAACAATTGCACAGGCTTAAGCTGCTTGCCATAATTCACAGGCTGATCTAGCTGTCATTCACTAAACGCACTTCACTCTGCTGACAGAACTTGATCTTTACAATGGCACTGGCACATTGCAGAGGGAAAAGACCCCTTCTCACAAAAGCATGCAACCCACCTCCATTAATCCTATTTGGTTGTTGCTCTGGAGTTTGGGCTTGAGGAGAGTAGTAGGGCTGCTGATAAGTACTTGACGGGAATTGCGGGGAGGTAGGACTCCTCCTGCAGTCTCGGATACTGGAGAAAGTCTGTGAGTGAGGAATCCCTCTCTGGAAGGGAGAGCAGCGGGTCAGGCGTGGCTGTGGAGGTGGGAGGTGGTCAAACTCTTCCTCATCCTCAAGACTGTAGCGATCGTATTCCTGGTCACCGCACGTCCCTTTCTTCCCCACGTGTAGAGAGACGTTTGAACTGTGCCTTGACACAGAGGCTGAAGTCGAAGCATAATCTTGCCTAAGGCCTGTAAATTCCAAGAAAAAGATGAATCTGCTTCTGCTACATGATTAACTTCTTAACATGCACTTCAATCTTGAAAACTAAGCAGGTAAGTTGACGTAATTTTACAGTGAGAATTAGACTTATAATGTCATGAGGATGAAGATCTGAGGTAGGATCCATCTGCTCTAACTTTCAGTGTCTACCATTCAGCCATCTAAGCCTGAATTATCTGCCTTGACATCCCTTTTTAATAAAAAATAAAAAAGAATACAGGCCTCTCCAAAATGCTGTACCTGTGAGATCTTAGATGCTTCTCCTGACACAAGATGAATTGCCTTCAGAAGGCACCTATTTCTCTGCTAATAGAAAGACTACATGAGTATTAAGTTTTGAAACAGTCTTAATTAGAGGAATTAACACTTGCCCTATTAGTTTTCCCAGTTATTACTATTAAACTCTTATATTCGTGCAATGAAAATACTGACAATGACAATTACTAAATTTACAACCCATGTAAATGCACTGGCTTTCCAACCTCCCTGAACCAGAATTAGTTCCTGCTAGCAGCTGGCCTCATGGACAAGGTTTAATGGTAACACAGCTGTGCTTTAGACAGGTACGCATCCTACCACCTCCTTCTCACAACTCCAGGTTTTGAAAACCATCCCATCATTAGGACTGCACCAGAAGAGCATGTTTGTTCTGGGCCAAGTGAGAGGGAAACATCCACATCCCTTGTACATCCCTTCTTTTCCCAGTAGCCAGGGAAAAGGGGATGTACATCGCATTTCCAGGAGTCAAGTAACTCTGCCAATAGCTGCAGATAACAACTTTCCTAGATTTACAGAAAGCCCTGAGCTTTGACAGGTCTTTGCTATCATAATGGAAACTTCTCAGTATGCTTGCCGCTGCCCACTCGAGTGGGAGTTTCTATTCGTGGCCATGAAGAGAGTGTGCCTGCATCCACATATAATACCACCACTTCCCACGGGATTAAGTGGACAACAACCACCATATGCTCCAACAATCTGTACCAGCTGCTACTACAAGGATAAGAAACAGCCATTACACCTGACTTAGATGAGAAGAAACCCAACATTTATTCATTCCAGTTTACCAAAGACCTGATTCCTTAAAGAGCTAAGTACCTGAAGTCTTTTCAAACCTCATGCTGAAGGAGATGAGTGCAGCTGTCATTTAAATAATGCAATCCTTGGTTATCTTTGATAGTAATTAAAAAAAAAAAAGTTATAACTTTCAGATAATACCAGAAATTTTCTGAGGTGTGACCACGCACATTTGCCAGCTGAGAATTCAGATATCTTGGAAAGTCTCAGACTTGCTAATTTCTCTGCTGAACATAACAAGTGCTACCAGACATATTCAGCAAGTTCAGCTGCTGCCAACTGATCACTCCAGCCTACTCAGCCTGGTTGCTGAAGCCAGATTGCAGCTCTAATTTTTATTTCACATTTATTTTTATTTAATTACTTGGCATTTTCCTTCAGTCACCCTCTCTGAATTTCTCTTGGTTTTCATCTCATAATTTCCTCCTTGATGTCTCACTTGAGGCTAATAGGAAGTAAGAAAGATACTGCACTTAGTGGCTGAGTGACTTCTAATTCAAATGTCCTTTATTTATGAATAAAGCCATTTTCAAGGCTTTTCGAGGTGCTGAAAGATATGGTTTAGTGGTGGACAGATACGGTTGGACTGGATGATCTCTAAGGTCTTTTCCAACCTAGTGATTCTATGATTCTATGATTCAAAAAATTGCTATGGAGCCAATCTATAATCTATGACAAACAAGCTTTTGGGCTCAGATTTGTGCATAACCACTACTCTCCAACCAAAATGTTAAATTTGAATACCCCAATTCAGGGTTTAAAGGGTAATTAATTTCAAAATTAATCTGACAACGAAGAAAAATCAAAGTAGAGACAAAGAAATGCATGAGAATTGCTTTTTTTTTTTTACACCTTTTTCCTAAGATGTATTAATGAGAAAAATGCTTTAGCATCTTCCCTCGTCAGAAATAAAACTACTTTAATGTGGTAAGACACTATAGATCTTCTAAAACTAAATGTACTGAACAGGCACAAAGCTATCAGTTGGGATTCAGAAAAATATAAACTTCAAGTTTTGAAAGATCCAGTACCATTAACTGAAACCCAACAACGTGCACACCTTTTCTGCACAGGTGAAGTTTTCTACCTGCCACTCAAGAGGTGACACCATTTAAGAAACATCCACTTGAGTGAGACCAGACTGGAGCAGTTTTGACTGTTACGGGAAATCTTCCTCAGAGTATTTTGAAAAATAAAAAAAAAGCCACCTACTCTCCTCCTGTAGACGAGCCATGATCTGAACATCGGTGAGGTCCTGCAGCTTGTATCCCATGGAGATGGAATCATCTTCCAGCTCCGAGGTGCTTAGTTCACTGTCTATTGATGACTGTGGGCTCAAAGGGGAACTCCTAGAAATGTAACCTATGTAAGAAAACATAACCTTTAGCCTGTGAACACTTCTGGCCATCTTTCATTCACGACTATCTGCCCTTCATGTTGCAGCAGCTTAAAATATTTTCTGTGTAACAGATAGGAACTTTCATCCCTGTAGCGCAATCCACTAACAATTAGCAAAAGGGCTTTAATACTTGTGAGAAGTAGTAAGTGTAGCAATGGATCGTGAATTCCTCTGCTTGTTCCCAAAATAGCATCACATAGCCCAGACAATAAATGATTTACCCAATACAGTTCTGATAATAGCTCAGATTAGTTAGCGTGGTCTGAACACATCTGCATTTGAGTCCTTCTTACAGGGCTGTGGTTCTCCCTACTCTGTTCTGAAAAGCAAGTGTGGATGTGTCACCAACTTCTGCTCAGTACTGAGATTCCATATCAGAGACATGTGCCTAAATTTTACTGGGTTTTTCAATTGTTTATAATAATCAGATAAATCAAAGACAGTAGCAATTAAGACTGAACATTATGCAACAACAGAGAAAGCATTGCCTCTTGCAGCGGACCAGGCTCTGGATTCTGCTTTTTCCCTGCACGATAACAAAATATAAACCAAATTGCAATTAGTTGCATGACTTAGTTGTGGCCCAACTTCAAAGAAAAATTATTCAAATAAAAGAGTAAATCACTTTCTAATTTTCTCTGGACCACCAGAGACCCACAGCCTGCAGGGCGAGAACCGTTGTGACTGTGGTTCATCGGCTATGCTTCTGTCACAGATGTGTTTGCATCCTCTAGCACTGCTCAAAGCAGCCACTAAAAATTCATCCTAAATTCAGCTGTTCTCTAATAGTGTCTCCAACAGAAGAGGGGACACAGGGGATTACTTTGCTTTGGAAGGATTGTAAAGAGTAAATGTGTTTGCTTTTTTAAAACTGTAAGTTACAGTGGTCCTTGAGGTTTTGCAGAGGTAGTAACAGCTGTGTCCTTTGGAAGCAGCAGTGGGAAGCTAGGCAAGATACCTGAGGGCATCTCGAATAGTATGAGATGTCTTCATTTAGGAACTAAACTACATCCCACTGAACAGGGGAGATTAGACATCTCGCTCACATGCAGACACCTACACCAGGCGTTCAGTCTGGTGCTTCATCTCACCCACAGTGCCCATATTCACTAAAAAGAGGGCTTTCTGCACTGGTTTCATGGGTTGTAAAGAAAACTGCGCACAGATCAGTGTGACACCGATGTTAATTTCCTCAGACCACCCCTGCTCCTGCCAGCAATAAAATGTTAATGCCTCTTCCCCAGAATATTATTTTCTCTACTGCCACTGCAGTTTAAGAGAAGTCACACATACAAATTGACTCCGATACCTGTAGTGAAGGAAAAACACAACCCTTTGCAATTTACAGCCCATAGAAAGTTTGGATTTTTCCTAAAACTCCTGCGTCCCCTGAAAACCAGTGGCAAACATAAACCAGTTTGAAAACGGCCATGATTCTGCTGGCTATTTATTTATTATAGAGAAATTCTCACTGCAACTTCATTACACAGCTGCACAAATGTTTCTGTAGACAGAAGGAAGGGGCACAGTGTGGCAGAAATGAGCAGTGAAAGGCAGACAAAGCCTGGGATGTGTAAGCTGACACAATCGCAACTACACTGTCAGGTAAATAATTATTGATAAATAGGCTCTGTTTACTAGCATCACTTTCATATAAGATGCTGTGTAACACAGAAGATAACTAGTAGCGTAGGTTAACTGCCAAATTTTAAGTTATTTTTAAAAAATATCCCTCTGAGATGACAGTCTACATACAATCATCTGAACTGTGTATTGCTGTTATATGCTAGCAAAACTCGATTAAATTGAGCAGTTTTGCAAGGTCCACAAATCAATAAAAAGAAAAGCATTACCTGTCCGTTCAGGTGTTAGTATTGCTTTACTGGAGGTTTTAGAGAAGCTGGGACTATTAAAGCCATTGGTATATGGGGTGAGTCTCGCAACAGGACTATAGGGAAAAGCCAAGGAGACAGGTGTAGAGAAGAGGTTCCGCCATCGGCTAGCTGTTACAGATGTGAGGGAGGAGGGGGAAAAAAAGATTTACAGTTATAAATAGAATAATGCTGTTACAGAGAAAAATCATCTCATCTTAAACTGTTCATTATACATTTTTTACTTATAGCAAAAGGAAAATAAAGGTCAAAATTCAGCAGCAAACCAGAAAATCAGCACAGCCTTCCACATGTAAAACTGTGCTCCACATGTAGCAAAAGTGTCTTCTTTACTGTTTTCTATGTATACACCATTTTGGCATATACTCAGCACATACATCACTGGGTAACAACACACAAAAGTAACAGAGGAAGTAAAAAACACTATAGTTAATAGAGAAACACAGATTAAATATGTAGTGCTCTTCAAGGAATCGTTCATGGCAATCAATCGTCACACAACTGAATTCACAGTGAAATTATCAGTTATGGGAGTTCTGAGACACAGCAGTAACAGCCTCTTACCCATCAAGTGCTAAAAACAACTGTAATCCCATAGCAAGCTTTTAAGATACCACATTTTTCCTTCCCTCTTTACAGAATCAAATTCCTGATTACGTAAACATGATTTTTTTCCCCCCCCACTGTTTTTGGAGGACCAACCAAATAATAGAACAAGGCACCTCTTTTTCTACATATTGCTTACAATAAGCTTGCAAGGCCTTTGGCCTACTCAGTAACACCACAGAGAGAGAGCTCAGAGTAGGCAAAACAGCTGAAGGCTTATTTAATTTATATTTTCTTAGCTCATCCAGTAAAAACTGAATACAACTGTCCTTTGGTTTGCCTATTTTTTAAACATGCATCCAAAAGGTAAAATAAACAATATCCACATGCCCTTTAGAAAATAAATTAATAGTAGCAATAAATGTTGTCTTAAGCAGAAGGAAAAGGCAAAATTTTAAAAATGTAAATTTCAGATACAAGCAAAGTTCGTACAGATGAAAAACAAATGATAACATCACATGATTATTTGCGATCTATTTTGTCCTTACAGATGTTATGTACAGCCACGCAAGTGAGGGAGCTAGGAACATACCTATACTGAGCTTAGAAACCAGTGGCATAACCTTGATGCTTAGCAGGTGTACCCTGCTCTGTCGGATGCTGCAAGCTGGTTTTCAAAACCTCTAGTTTTTAGTACCAAAAGCCCTCAAAAGCTTTTCTGCATCAAACGGCTAGTTAATACCACAAATCTGCACTGTTATTTGGACCTGCAGATCCAGTCGTTTTAAACACAGATATTCAAATAATATTGAAGCCCTCTCTATTTTAAAATGTCACTGTCAACAAAATGATTTAGCAGGACATACAGACTTCTTGTAAACATCAACACCATGTGGTCATGGGAACAGCAGGAAAGCATACCTTTCTGTCAGGTTGTCCTTGCAACCTTTTGGAGCAATCAGTTTGTCACCTGTCCACAAAATGCTATTTCTCTCCTATTCCTTTTTCTTTGTCCCTCTCAAAGGTACTCCTGGGTTTGTGAGAAATAACCAGCCTTTACTACTCTTCCCACTCGTGCTACTAAGCTTGAAGGTAACCGCCTGGTTGAATTCTCTCATTTTTTATGATTCTAGTTCCTTCAAGCTTAAAGAAACCTTAATGTCTGAGATCTTAACTAGCAGCAGCATGAGCACCATTTCTCAGAAATGACTTGATGCCAAGCAAGACGACACCGACTGCCAGGCAGGGCTATTTGTCCTTCACAGTTACTAACATGATCAGTCAAAAAGTCAGGCATACAAGTGTTCCGGGACAAAAAGGAGAGGAAAGATAGATGAACACAACTCTACAAACTAGTAATTAACAAAAATCGCTGGGAATGAGATTGAAAAGTTAATAAGCTCAAATCAATTTGAGACATTCATTGAAAGACATGTATACAATAGAGTAGATCTCAATATCACATCCACAGCTCATGTTTGTCACCTCCGCTAGAAACGACCAGTAAGGAGCAAGGGATGACAGTCCCTTGTGACTTTATTTTTCTGCTTAACACAAGATGCTGTTTTGTAGCAGCCTGGTCATTTGCCAGGCCAATTAGCTGCCAGCATGTGCTCACCCCCAGATGTGGTCAACCGCACAGCACAAATAAATCTCATTCATGACCCTCTACAATAACCACTGTGAGCTGGCCCACTATACACAAAGCAACAGTTATCGCGACTATGACAGCAAGAACCCACACAAAGAATATAATTAGTATTTATGGCAAACCAGATTTCAAACTCCTCTTTCAAATAGTATGTGTTCTCAAGAAAAGATGAAGAAGCCAAAACACTTTCACCTATACCAACCCCCCTATATATACTAAATCTCTAGATCCACTAATCTACAGTTATCCTCAATTCTAGAACTTTTGCCACTACCTAAAATAACTTCATAGTGTTCATAGCTACAGCATTGTCACTTTTTATGCATACAACTATATCTGCTGTTTAGGATCAAATATAGAAAAATGTTTTCAATAGTTTTCAATTGGGAATATCAAAATGTATACTGAGTACTTCTAGAGTATTAACAGAGACAGCAAAATTAGACTTAAGTCTTATCATATGCCAAAAACATAAAAAGCATGTAGGAAGCAAGTGCTACAGACATCTACATAAATACATAAATTAATATAAAATTAGTAAAATCCCAAAATTGTGCAATGGATAGCCATTTCAATAGTGTTATTTTACTCCAAACTCACTGAGACTGCTCTGGTTAGCACAGTAAAACACTAATATGGTATGCATGGATTTGCTCTTCGTTACCCGTTCCCAGCAGGCTGTTTCTAGGGTATGAGGCAACGTTAAGATCTTTATTTTAAATTTAAAACCCCAGCTGTTAAGCTCTGAATTTTACAATATTTGTAGCTGCTTCTTACAGCTCCAACTCCAGCTGCCCAGAGATAAAGTAAGAAATTCAAGTACCTCCAGAAAACAAAGGAAGATTCTAACCCTTGCAGCTGAATAGATATGTGAATAATCCTGTTCTGATGTAATGAAGGAAGAAAAAATATCAGCTATGGAAAAGAAAGCAAAGGCATCTAAAGAACCACCAAGAGATAAGAAGCAAAAAAATCCACTTGATTTACTGACAGCAGTTAAACACATTAACAGTTTGACTTACTGAAGCATGAAGCTGTTGGCCTTTCACACCAACAAAAGGAACTAATACTCTCTAATACAATAAGCACAAATTGTCACAGTCTAAGTCCACAGTTAGATTGGAAGTACCCAGCTTTTCAGGTATGATTTCCTTAGTTTTGATCAATTCTTAGTAACTAGAGTGCTGATAACTTACTGCGTTACACAATGTCTAATATTTTTAAAAAAAGGACTTGTCAAAGTGACTACATAATCAACCAAATAAACCTTTTCTTTTAAAAATTAAAATCCACAACAACTGAGCTTGCTTATAACTTTAAAATACCTACTAACACAAGTGAAAGTTTAAACACTGAAACCTTATTTTTATAACTTCCCTGGAGATATCAAATGCCAAAATAGAGAGGAATAGTAACTCACACAGAAAACTATGAGCAACTACATAAACACAATTATTCACCTTATTGACTCCTGTGAATAACCAGCATTTGGTAAGAACTGATGGAAAATTTCACGTGAAAACCTGAACAAGTAAACATCTTCAGAATTGCATGGCTCAAAAGAAACAGAGCACCCTGCAAAACCAGAGCATGCTGTACCATACCTAAAGCACTTCCCTTACGGAAAGCAATTTTTCATATAAGCTGCATAAGGTACACCATTTCTAAATATATACAGAAACATGGTCTTGAATGTGAAGATGAAATTTCCTATTCAAATCAATGGGAACATTCACAGACAGAGAGATGAGGTATAAACAGCATAGATTCTCATTACGTTGTTTTAATTTTGAGGTGTTACACTGATATCAACAGAGGCAGATCAAGTACAGGTTCTGCACTTGATGAATCAGATACACCTAGGACATTATCTCAACTAAGGATATCAGGGTTTCCAAGAAACCAAAAGAAATAGATGCACATTTTAAACACTTTCCACCCTCATAACTCCATTATGAAACTCAGTGAACTGTTTGACAGAATAGTAACTTAATTTTCACTCTAAGCAACATAAATAAAAAAATATTTGTTTGCTATAAAGACAGAAACTAATGAAGTAGTAAAGAATTGTGTTGTACTACTGACTAATCACACTAAATTATATGCAGTGCTATCTGGCTTCTTTATTCACTCAGTTAGCTTAAGTTTTATACAGGCCTTCAGGCCAGAGTCAAAAGCACTTTTTAAGCTCAAGCCAAAAATAAATTCAATTGCATATATGCAGACATTTAAATATGGGCACTAATTACAGAGCCTGAACAAAAACCCTCTTTTGAGCCAACACTGGAGGAGTATTTACAGTACTGTCAAATCAGCAAGTTCAAAAACACAAGTTCTGAACACACAGCACTTCCCTTCCGACACATTTCCCTTAGAGCAGGAAACTCAAACCACTTCCTTGGCGCATTCTGCATATGCGCGATTGTACAGCTGCCACACTTAAAAGCAAAATATCTGTCTCAGAAGTAAAATGCACAGTCCTGCATGGGAAACACAAGTATTTTGTTAATCACTGGAGAAATTCCAGAGTGCTAGAAGGGAATTCAAAACCCTCTCCTTACCATAGATAAGGATGTCTAAACCAGCTAAGAGGTATCACCTCAGTGAGGCATATCTAATATATTCCTCCCAAAGATAGGTACTTAACTTTCACTTTCAGTCCCTGTAAAAAGGTAATTCAGAGTCTGAAAACACCTCCTGCAGTTAGACATATACCTAAGAACAAACAAGTGGGCAACGTGCTTGAAAAGACGGCCAGAGAAAGAGGAGATCAAAGTCACTCCCACTACTCACTCAATAGTGCCACTGCTGGGACACTTGCTCAACACGTGGGAAATGTGGGCTCCAAGTAGGAATCTTCACCGGCCTGAAGAGATTTATTTAGGTCCCTGAAACTGAAGCAATCTGAGGTAGAAGA